ATATATACATACACAAATATTCTATATATATAATATTACGCGCGCGCAACACACACAAATATTATATATATATTATATACATAAATGTCTGTCGTACAAGCCGTAATTAGGATTTACTGTAGCTAGTACGTGTTAGCTTATTAAACGAATACACTCGTAAATGGCAGATGGCGGAATGAAACGCGTTTATGCGGTCGAGATGAGAGAGAAAAAGAGAGAGAGAGAGAGAGAGAGAGAGAGAGAGAGAGGTGTAGAGTGAAAGACAGAGAGAGAGAGAGAAAAAGGAGTACAGATACAGAGGAAGTCAAGAATAATATCGTATGCCGTCTCGAAATCTGTCCACGAATTCTCCATTGACGCTGGGCGCTGTCGTGCAAAAGCGAAGAACGCGTCTGCGACCCTCCGGCTCTTCGGCTAACTAACTAATTAATTAAGAGAACTTGGTGCAACGTGTGAAAACAAGGTCTCGCGAACCTTTGGCGCGCGCGCTCTGCCGCTGTATAACGGGATTTACAATCATGTCGCGTCTTAAACGAGGAAGTCCGCGTAACGACGACAAAGTAAGGAGCGCGGAGAAAGAATAACGCAAATCATTTCATAGGAGAGACCTCCCGTCGCTAGATCTAGCGATGTAGAAATTAATTTCATTATTATCGTATACATTTTGAAAAAAAAAGAACGAAGAAATCGTTGCAGCGTTTTATTATCAGTTCTTTGAAATAGTTTTGCTGAACATCGGTTTTATAAATTTATTAGATTACAATTAGAATAATTACGAATATATAAAGAAGACACGAGATTCCTTCTTGTGAATCTCAACGCTTTTCCGGGCGCAGTGCTAAAAGCGGATTGTATATATGTGCGATCAAGTCGATACCGTCTTATGCATCCGTTGAAAGTCGATCGCGACGTGCTAGATCGCGCGGCCACGTGTTCTCGAGAAGTATGCGTTCGATATATACCTATATTACGTATATAATATAAAACGGCCGTTGGTACAAAAGTGCGAATCTCTCCCACCTGAATCCGATCCCCATTCGCGAGCGCCGATCCCGTGTTGAGATCGACGATCGATCGACCAAGCTGAACGAACGATTACGAGACGACGAATTAATTGTAGTGTTTTAAACGAGCCATATAACGCGGCGCCCCACGTCATTGGTACGCTTTAAATAACGGGGGAGTATAAAAGTATTGTGCGAAAGCAAGCACACACCACTCTATTACCGGTATATATTATATACATTGTAATCAATTGTTGTCTACGATATAATGTTATTTTTCTAATTCATATTCAATTGTTATTGTTGAGCGAAAGAAGTAGAGAGAAAGAGAGATAGAGAGAGAGAGACGGAGAGAAAGAGAGAGAGAGAGAAAGAGAGAGCGCGAGAATAAATATGGATGAATGATGAGGGACAAAGATGAGGCCGAGAGAGGTGGAACGATAGAACGAAAAGCGAGATGATGGGAGAAAAACGGGGAATAAAAGAGAAGGAGAGAATGCGATATTGAAAGATTGTGGGAGTGAGATGAGAGCGAAAAATGCGTACGAATGGAAGTTGAAAAAAAAAAAGCACATCGAATACTTAAGCGCGAATAATGTATTCGACCAAGATAGAAATCTCCTGTACTTTCCATTTCCATTTGCTTCCCTTTCGAACACATTTACATACATCATCACGTACAACGAGTTCTATGTCTTTCCCAAGTGTTTTGGCAGCTCGATTCTTATACGGATAAAATCGTAATTGCGAGAGACACGGTTATATAAATTAATATTCATTATCGATCGATTGAAGCCGAAGAGTCTCAAATGTGCCAAAGGAAATATTTTTCGCAAAAATTATGCGGTTGTACGATTTTAACGTTTTTCGACGTGGCAAAAGAGGCGATTCCGTTTTATCTTACAATTAGTAATTATACGTGCGAGCGGTGTGTTTAGAGCTAGAGCGCGCCAAATCCGCGATTTTACTGCTCCGCCTCATATCAGCAAGTCTTCATTTCTCCAAGGGAGAAGACTCGCTCCCTTGCGCTTCTCTCGGAAGCTACCGAGTGTGGCTACGGCTTGTATACCAACGCCAACGCGAATCGCGACTAAAATCCCTCGACTTGGCACTTTGGAACTTTGCGACTTGAATTCTAGGCAGATAAAATATGTAGCGCGCGGATCGTTTTCGTGCGAAAGACCGCCGAATCGGACTTCCGCCGTTCCCAATTTCCACTCGGCTCGCTCCACGCAACGTACAGCGTTTTGTCGCGTTTGTACGAGGGAAGGGTGGGAATCGCGGCTGGACGGGGCGCAAAGTAGTGACGGTGCGCGATTAGCGCGACGATGCCGCGCCGAGCCGCGCCGCGCCGCGCCGCGCCGCGACGGTGCGCCGGTCGCCTGTGATATACATAACAAAGTCGCGAGCGCATAAGTATTGTATTTTTTGTAAGGCTCATGTACGCCACGCAGATTGTGATAACGCGAGTTCGCGGCGTCGTCGTCGTCTTGGGGATGGACGACGGACCGGCGTGCCTGATTATAATTATACCACCGCGCGAAAACAGATGCACAATTTCCAAGTACGGTTCGGCGGGCCTATAATACCTTCTTGTTTTCACCTACCGAAGCGAAATAAGTGCGAATGAGGCTTGTTAAGGCTTTATTAACTTGTGCGAGGAAAGACGCGTTCCTTAGCTTTTTTCAAGTCCGATACGCTGTCCGAAGAGAAGGACACTTATCATCCGCGCACCGCTTCTCAATTGTCTCATGCCAAAATCGGATCGGGATACAATAAGAATTTGAACGAAAAGTTATTTGTACTTTAGGTCGCTCACACGGGGACGCGTTGTTGATTTTTTTCCCTTCCTTTTTTATTAACGAGTTTCGGAGGAGATGATTTTTAATGTGCTAAAAATTAGACTGATAGACTTGTGCACGAAAGTGATACTTTTTATATATGTATGGGGAAGCATAGAGTTATGAGACGATTTTTCATTTTCGCCTTTTGGAAACGGTAACGATCGTGTACTACGTTAGGAAAGAGACGAACGCTGCCTTCTCATTTGTTTGTTAAAGCTGTCGAGAATCTTGTCAGCGGGATATATTGCTCGCACGTCGTCTCGATTAATTATTGTTATCTTAATCGATGCGAATCCTCGCCGAGTCTCGGACAGATAGTATAGAGCACGCGGAAGAAACAGTAATTAATTTGATAAAAAGCTAGGATAAAGAAACTAGACGAAACTTTTATTTGTTTCTTTTTTTTGGCGATTTGATAATTATAGAATTATAAATTTTAGAAATTATTACGGAAAATCTCGAACTAATAATACATCATGTAAAGACGAGACACCTTTCCAAATTTACGATCCCAGACAGCACATGTCCAAAACATAAGACGTCTTAGAGACATCATTGAAACGCTACGTCCCGGTTTTAATCATGCTTGTAATTTGATTGTGAGATAAATTACGAACGCGCGCGCAAGCGATGAAAAAAATTTTTAACTCCGTATTTGTATTACGAAATATTTATTTTTGCAAAACGTCGCGCTAATTCGATGATTCTTGAGGAAAAAAAAACGAAAAGACGCATAAGAATCACACTGGATTACATAAAGTTATTTGACTGCGAGAATTAAAAAAAAAAAATCGTTAGAGCCGCCACCCACAGATTTCGTGTTCGCCGATCGTTACTCGCGCGCGGTCTGACTATCGCGACCTGCACTGTATAAAACTACAAGTTTTATTCCGGCTATAAATGAGAATTCTCTATACGAATGCGCTATCACGCCGGATATTCCTAAAGAGGATGCTTAATAAATAACACGCTCTCGAAACAGAATCGCGTCAGATTGACACGCTCGCGGACGCTTTAGACTCGGCGTAAAAATTTTATAAACTCTGAAAAAAAACCTGCAACCATTCGCCGGTTTGGTGGAAGCCGGACGATCGCAGTAACTATTATTGTCGGACGAGCGATCGTTACAAATTCGTAACTTCCGCCGGATGCGTGCGATAAAAGCTTGAATTTACACCCAATATTCGTCAAAATAGAAACGAAAATTATCCGCGGATCTTGGGACTCGGCGAGCGCATCGATCGCGGATCAATTAATTCTACGAATTCTCGCAACGGGACTATACGTTAGTTACGTAATTACGCGTCGCGTTTTTTGTGATATTTTTAATCTGCGGGTGCGAGCGTCTGCGTGCATGTAGTACGTTGTTGTTGAATCCGGTGTCCACCGCGAGATGCCAAAGAATTGTAAGTCGTGTAATAAAAGCTGTGGCTGTAAGGTAACTATGATAATGTCAATGATAACGAAATGATGATAACGAAATGCTGATGATGATGACGGCGATGATAATGACGACGACGATGATGATGATGAGAATGGAACGTCTGGCGCGGTGATAATCGTTATTGCTATCTTGTAACGTTTAATGTATATCAGTGTCGTGCAAACAAAAAATAAGAAAAAAAATGAGCGGCTGAAGCTCCTCGGTGTTGTGGGTATGCATACTCGTTCCTAGCAACTCGTATGACAATTACTATTCGATACTACTCATAACGATTGCATTGATCTACTTTACTCTACGTACACTTTAAAGATAAATAAATACATTCTGTCCAATCTCACTTAGGCCTGTGTCTATATCTGTGTTCTTCCCTCGACGATGTATGAAGGGCTCTCTCCGGAAGAACGTTGCGTTCGACATTTTCTTTTTCTTTGACCACTAGATTTCACATGTTTAGCCAAGCGTTTTTCTTAAAACATATTTGCAGAAAAATGATTGTTGCAACGTTCTTCCAGAGAACCCTGCACATCTTTCTTTATTCTCAATAGAAAGGATTTATTTCCAGGAAGGTAAAAGGTAATTCCAGATGGGAACCGTCATGGATCATTAATCGTACATGCTTCGAGAGTTAGACAGACTAGATCTTACGAGTCTCTTCAAAACAATTTCTTCTCAAATTTCCTATTCGGGGAAACGGAACGAAGATATACGTATAAAAGAAGCAACCAGTATCACTTTATTATTCTGTCAACGACGTTACATGTCAATCCAGTGGGTTTTTTTTAATAATATTTCGTGCTCAAATATTTACTTTCACAGTTTCACACTTTGTTCCTTTCTAGGGTAAAACACACTCAATATGTCATGGTTATTTTGGAGTATTTTTTTTCTAATCGGCATATGGAAAAATATATACATCCACGTATATATTCGTCCATCTATCAGCAATAGAAAACGATTGATCGGCGCGAGCCGATGAACTTACCCTAACGTCACAATAATGCACAATCTGTTCTGTTAATCGATATATGATTATGAGGATTACACCTTTCTTACTGCTAGTGAAAGCCGCCTATGATCTAGACGAGAGGTTATTATTTAATTGTATTAAATCCTTTAATACAATTCTATAGATATGCTAAATTACATATATATATGTTCATTACGCGTCTAATGGCGTACTCGTATTATATCCTAAACTGGCAGATCGAGAGCATATACAACGTATTTTGTTTGTAATGTACGTAAACGTGGCTCAGTATATGTCGCTTTTGGCCTCCAGGTGAAAATGGGATGGATGCAATCGATATCAGTGACTAAGCGTGAAACATGACTAGCTTGAAACGGCGATTCCATAGATTCGCGGCGCGTTACAATATTCTGACGATTAATTGCTGCGTGCGGCATTTTGTTTTGCGCCCTGCAATTTGTTTCGCACAACAATAGTCTCGGATTGCGATATCAGAGCGATCTGACAGCAATTGTGCACGGCTGAATATGTAATAAGTATATTCCACTTATATCTGGGCCACGTTGACATGCAAAGGATAGAAGACTTTAAATTCTTAACAGTTATTATCGACATCTATTCGATAAAAATGACTTCTCGTTCGTCAAACGGATCCCCCTTATAAACCGATAGAAAAATACGTTTTCATTGTTTTTTATCACTTCATCGAGATATCGGAATGCTGAAAAATTGCGATAAAACACAATGTTTTATCCTATATATCGTGACGGTAGAATTTCATGTGATTGTAAATAACATTCATGAAGAAAAACATCGAATATATATCTCTTTTCGATTCTTCATTAAATTAATTTTATAAGCAATAATTATTGCAGCAATAGTAATTTGTATTAATATTGTTCCAATCCCTAATTTATTATCAAATAAATTGAAAATATTCCTGAACTTTTCATTAATTTTACAATTATCGTGGAAAATCATATAATAAGATATAAGAATAACATATTCCACATATTATGTTTATCACATATAAAATGTCGGCGATAAACGCGAAAATTTGATATAAAATCGCCAGAGATTCGATCTCCTTGTCCATATTAAAGTATACTAATTAATAGCATTTCCACATATAACAATTGTAGAATAAATGCAACAGAAATTCAAAACGAAAGAGAACGTAATAACGAAGTGTTAAGCTACAAATAAAATTAAAATGCAGGCGCATCTTGTACGATATTCCAGAAATGCTTTATGTGGATTGTGTTATGTTACTGTAATACATACCTATTCAGTATGGTACGAGTTATAGGGTTCCTGTCACATGAATACCTCTCTACGAAGAAAAAATTTTTTTTAAGTGCTTATAAAAATAACTGCACGCACAATCCATGCGTACATTCATAATCCTTTCTATAAGCGAACTTTCAGCTCCTCCATTCTTTGTTTTATTCTTCTTCGCATTTCTTTGTATCTGAAATATCGAATTTAATATAATACTGCGATTTACATTACACACAATTTATCTTGTACACAATTGCTGTCTATATATACTCACTTCTCTTTCAAAACGACAATCTGACGTTCCTCCTCGTAGTGATAACGCTGCAGTATGCCGTGGCATTCCGCTACGGATAGATTGAGAAATTGCGCGACATCGGAACTGATCTCAGGCGTGGACAGCTTATCGACCAGAAACAGTCGGGCAACGTTCTCGTGCGGACCCAAGACTACTCGGACTTCCAAAGGATACTCGTCGTCCTTCAGCCTTCTTTGCTCTGAAAACGATACAGATTACATGATAGTGAAGGAAAATGAAATCGCGTATAAGTCAATTTTAATTTCCTAAAGAATCAATCTTTTCTTACCGCCGTTGTCGCGGACTACAAATAACGCAAAATTGTCGGACTTGGCATCGACCTTGTATTTGTCCAGCATGAGATTGATAACTTCCTGGGTGTTCACGAGACTCGTCACCCACACGGACATCTGCGAACCGTGGGGCGGTGTAAAGAAACTGGTCTCTCGATTGTAAAAGTGGCCGTTGATCGAGCAACGACGTCGTAATCGGCTTCGCGATTGACGCCTGCCACCCGGACGTCGTCTGATCGCGGTGGAGCCTTGCTTGCGACGCAACACGACACCATCCAGCTGCAATCGGAAGATACGAGTGATACGTGCGAGAAATTTAACTTTTTTAAAATTACAGGCTCGATGGAATAAATAATCGCGATACGATACCTCTAATCCGCTGTCTGTAGACATAGTCATGTTGTCGTCCTCTCTGAATTGCAAAGAATTCACCGAATCCGTGTCACTGTCGGTTCTGTGTCTCTGAAGACAATCTGGACCGGACAACGATCGATTCAGGCCCTTCTCGATCCAGCTGTCGTCGGTGCTGATCGATTTACTGCCGGTGCTCTTCTCCAAGTTGTCGAAGTACTCGACTCTTCGAAGCGTACCGTTTCGATTAGAAGCTCCTAAATTACAGACAGGGGTGTCTGTGCTGGAAGAACTACCTATGCTGTGCGTCGGCGTGCTATTTAGGCTACTGTCGTTGTCCCGGCTGGTTGTCTGGTGATTGGGGCTGCTCGTTTCCGAGTTCTCGCGGGAGTCCGAGGATCGATCGAGACTCGACTGAGACGAGAGCGGTGGCGTATCCACGCTGGATTGCGAGCTTATTGACGGGAGATTCTCCGGCATCGTCTGATATAATTTATTACCGTCCTCGACCTTTCGTTCAACCTGCAATCATACCTCCCAGTTTATACCCCGTTTCACGAACGTGAACGTAAATGTTAAAAGTATGTACCTGCAGAAGTTCGTCCAGCTCATCCCATTCCATATTCTTGACTTCCAATTTCATAGGTAGAGTGAGACTTTTCAAATGATCGGGCGACGTTGGAACAGACTTTGCGTTATTCTCCGCGCTGCTGTCCGACGTGCTCTTAGACATCTCATCCATCTTATCTTCGTCTTCGACATCCTACCGCAATTAAAGACAATAAATCGACACGCCGTTGCTACGTGTACTCTTTTAACGTAAATAAGAATGACGAACCTCAGAAACACTGTGCCTGCACGAATTTCTATTTCGCGCAGTAACTACTGTGCGCTGATCGTCGTCTTCCTTCAGATGGATTACGCCACGGACTCCCCAATAAATTCTCAATGCGCCTTCCAGTATCAATCTTCCATTGACCTGTTTCAAATCGTTATTTGTTTAGAGGTATTCTTTATACGTAACATCTTGTAACTTAATAGAATTGTTTCGAGAAGCCTTTTTACCTCACGACTTCGAATTCCTCCACTTTTGCCTTCGTAATACTGATTAAAAACTTTCAGCTTGGATTCTAAATGCGATCTAAAAACACATTTATCTTTAAGAAATAATTTAAATGATTAATTATCTAAATAAAATATATGTCCTCTTCAGAGAAACATTCAATTATACATGATTATACAAATTTACTTTAAGTACAACTCTTTGGATATTTCTATCTAGATTTGCATTAAAGCAACAAACACAAGATAAACAGTATGTTAATAATAAAAGATTTATTTTAAATTAACGTCAATTATAATGTCGATAATTTATTTTTTTAATTAATTTAAATAAATGTAAGATTTTTTTTATATGTGCCTACCTTGGTAAGGATGGTCGACTTTCCTTTTTCCCAAAGCTCGTGTGCGACTCGACTCTTGTGCCATGGCCGAACAATTGAGGTCCGAATAGCGCTCCATAACAAGGAACGTGGCAGTAAGGCACGCCTTTGTGCTGATTTTAATACAACAGCAAAACGTTACATTACAATCATCGTATTATCTACAATATTGATCTACATGACATGAAAGATTTATTTGTCCGCTACCTCTGCATGTTGCCCGGGATTCAATCGCTTCCCACATTCCTCACACCGTAAACATTCCGGATGCCAGTCATATCCCAGAGACTGTTTACGTTCAGCTGAAAATTGGATACATTCGTTCAAATCCTATGTTCAAAATTTAAATCTCCGAGTCATAAAATTTATAATAGCACGGATGTCTCGCTGTTATCTTTTGTTTATGCACTTATAAATACATCGATTTAAAATTTTATAAACAAAGTAACGAAGTGGACAATGGACGCGCGGCAGCTGAGATTCCCTTACTAACTGCGATTTTCATTTTATTCACGTGCGTAAGACGTAATCGAGTGTTCTGTACGACAATCACGATATATTCTGCAACGGAGGCGAATCGATCGCTCCGCTCCGAAATCGCGAGTAGCGCGAGTAATTGTCAGAGCGAGCACGCCGCCTCGGCGAGTCGCAGTTCGCGAAAAGTACTCACCGAAGTAAACGGGTTTCCCGCACTTGTGGCACTTCCACATGATGACGGACGCGCGGCACCCCTCGCGGGCACGGCAACGGGCGTGTTTTTTCGTCGGAGCCACAAACGGTTTAAACCATTTTGTTTACATTAGCAGAGCATTCCGCTCATTGGAAGTGACATGCGGGTTAATTACACAGATGCTACTAGCGCAGCGACCCTCGTTCCGAAGAGGAAGGAAGCACCGTCGTTTTCTCTGTGCTCCGTGTATGACAAACGCCACCTAGACTTACTCTTTCATCCTGTCACAACGTAATCGTCGTAATAAGCACCATAACTGTTTGTTAGCGGAAAAACACATTTATTAAAAAATAATAGTAATCGAAAACACATAATGTACAGCTAACTTCTCAAAAATGGAAAAGGAATATAAAAGCAATTACAATATAAAAAGCTATTAAAAATATTCTGTTCAATTACATTTAGATAATAAAAAAATCCCTTATAAAGTCTCTTAATAAAAAGAATATTACAACAAAAATATTTTACAAAAGAATAAATTTTAGAAAATAAGATTAAAAACTTAAAGATTAAAGCTAAAAATTAGAACATTAAAGCTAAAAAAAAATAGAAAACTAATTTTCCTACAAAGATTTCCTCAAGTTTTCGTTTTAATATAGAAAAATGTCAGGATTCAAAATGTTTATCAATATTTTTATTTCTACTAACTATTAATTAACCAAGGATATTTTGATATCTGTATTTAAAAAAAAAATTCACTACCGGTATCACAATTAGAAACATTACAATATATTTTCTTCACTGTTAGTTTCTGCTTTGCCTCTCCAAGGCGTCCCAGTATTTCTTATCGGCACTAGCATTGAAATCTTCAATAAATTTTTCCATCTGCTCGTGCGCACTTTTACTCTCAGGTGGGAAGTACTGCTTTTTCGCTTCTACCACATACTTGTCATAGTAGGCTGGCTGATTCACATAGTGAAATATTCCAACGGGAAACGATATGTAGATAAACATCTTGGCTACCTCTAATACCCAACCCATTTCGAATATCTGTGGAAATGTAAAACATTTGCAACTTGCAACCATCTACGTCCCTTTGGTTTTCATTCATAGCTTAATGAACAAATCTCACTGCTATTTTTATTATATAAAAAATTCTATTCTCTCTATATTCTATATTTATTATATACAATTCTTTACAACTATTCAACACACACATTTCAATTATACGACACTCTTTGTTGTACAAATTCTTCTTAATTGTGCAAAGCAGAAATGACACAATACTTCTACATCGATTGAACATTCTGTCGATTTACGCATTTGTCAATATAATTATGGAAAATCATACCGTATCTCGAAGCAGAAATCCTTTATTTACATTTAACAATATGGTAACCAAATATTCCAGTGGCAGATATCAAAGGTATAACAGCGCAATTTGGAAGTGCAGTTACAATCCAGAAAAGTCGCAGAAAAAAATCGTCGTAATTATGATGGTGTGCCTTAAATAAATATCAGGAAAGATAATTGCCTAGGAAAGATAATGAGAAGCACTTGACCAAAATGTTTAGGTTATATTCTCCGATAACACTCCGGTTCGTATGCGGACTTGGTATAAACTACGCAAACGACGTAGTATGTGAACCTGCTGCCAGATAGCGTCCTTCGCGTTTCAGCTGATTCGCAGGTTCGGTATTTACTATATTTTTTGATAGCTGCGAAAAAAAAAAAGAAATATGAAAAATGCAAACAGTTATATAAAAATAAGATGACCTAGCTAGACAGAGTAATGAGAATCGAATAAGATAAATAATATAAATAAATAGAACATATAGCATGACGCGGTCGTCACTGTCGATAGTGTCCGTCGATCTGTTATCGTAGGAGCAAAGCTTTATTTAAAGAATTTTTTTTATATTATAAGTATATATGTATATATAAAAAAGTATAAAATTAGAAGAATGTTGTATTGTTAGGTATATTATTATTATTATAACATTATGATTTTTTCGCAAAAAATAAATTTATCTATATTTTCTGAGAGGGCGCAAACGCATGATTTTTCCCTTCTCGAGTCGCGCGGATTTCGGGCTGCACTGCCGCACAGCTGACGCCTTCACGCCTGGCGCACTGGCTTCTCCGCTGTGCGTCGTGCAGGCCGTGCAGCTGTTTTGCTCTAATCCGGTGGCTACGGGCGGCGCAGCGCGGCGTTCCGTTGTCGATGCCAATCGAAAAAATGGCGATGTCGAGGGTGGAGGATTTGAATGCAGCCGCGAAATATAAGTTTAAAAAACGTGGACAACGTTCTCCGGCGGCGAGTCGCGACGTCGTCGTCGTCGTTCTCTCTGCGTTTCCGTTCACTCTCGACGTGCTCGATACGGATCTCGTGAGTGCGGCGCGCGAGAAAGCGATTATCCGAAACGAAAATCTCCACGTACGCGCACGTAGTAACAATTAATAATACGTCCGCGCGAACGATAATTGCGATAACGTCGCGGCGGAACAGCCTCGTTTCGAGGGGCGAAAGGGCGAGACATCGCTTTTTTTTTTGTTTTTTTTTCTTTTCAATCCATCGAATTCGAGAAACACCGACGCGGCTGCACGTTGGTAGCAGTGCACCACAATGTTTGCCATTTGTTGCCACTCAGCTCAGTGTTGACTGTTGAGACGCAATAGCGCATTGTAGTGCATCCGAGGAGCGTTGTTTGGGCCTGAACCTTGTGACGCGGCCGATGCCTCGATGAGGTTACCCGAGGATATCGCGACGTGTACTCGACGCAATCATGGAAGCTCTACTGCCGTCCGAGATCGCACGACTGGTGCTCGGTAAGAATCCAGGGTGATCGGGGGAGACGTGACACGTTCCGTAACGCGCCCGTAACCTTTCCCGCGGGAACGCCATGCTCGCTCCTCGGAGGCTTCGCAACCGAGCTTCGTGGGTTTTCTCATCTGTAACTTGTCACGAAATTGTCGCATTTGCTGGAATAATATACATCCCTTTCGTGTCATCGAATTCCTTCACGCAATCGCACTGTCCCCTCGCGTCTTCGCACCCGATGTGCGAGTAAATTCACAAGTATTTCTCACATTTGAGAGTAGCATTGCTGCGTTAAGCGTATAAATTATATAATTGTGTGACTCTAAGAGAGAAAGAGAGACTTTAAATAAATGTATTTCTTTGTGGTTCGTCCGTTTTAATTGCGTTCACGAGGGATTTGAATTTTGGCGAGAGACAGAAGAAAAGTAGAGAAACCATAACAAAGAGAATTGTCTTTTTGTCATCTCTGTTTACAAATGCTTTTGTACTTTTGATTTTCTTATTGTTTTTATTTATGAGCGCTAATCAAGTTGTCTAGTCGATTTATGTTGTAATCCTGTTATAAAATGTTTGCTTCTAGGTTATTTGGAAGATCAGAAGTGTGCTGAAGCAGCCAAATTATTTTTAGAGACGTCTCCGCACTTGCAAGAATGCCGTGCGGTACTGTCTTGCGGCAGGAGATTCAGCACCAGAGTCAACGGTCTAACGTTGATGGATATCGTTGAGAAATTTTCAGCCATCAGTGCTATGAGTAAGTAATACACTGTCACACTTTATACATTTAGTTTACATCATTTAAGTAACAATAATGAATAGACTTAGGCTGCAGAGTCTTTAAATATTGAGTCTTATGTGTCCAAACGTTTGCTTGCAGTTCAAGAACGATTAAGCAAAGCCACTGACTGTGAGCAGTTAAAGCATTGCGATCTGATAGAGCAGCTCAAGTTTCTCGTAGAGGAGCCACGTGGTCAGCGATTTGTTGTAAATATAAATGTACCTTCACAGGTAACTTATTGTTATCTTGATTAATTAGTCTTCACAGTATTCTAAATGTAGTAGAAATCTTATCATATTTGGCATTGATTAGAAAGACAATCTCAGTGAAGCTCTCTAAAAGTAGAAGCCTCTGCGTTTAACATTTATGTATATGATAAACAAATGTAGGTCAACACTTAAATTATGTAACATAACGTTTTTCTATGTTTTACAGAGTAACGCACAAACATCAAATGGCTCGCCTATTACTGCAAGCAATATACGTAAGAGGCATCACAGTAATAGTGAGCGGATTAAACGTAATATTAAAGCCCAGTTGAATTTAATACAACAATCTGACATCGTGAGTCCACGTACGTTTATCATTTTTTATTTTAACATTTATAATGGTTCATATAATGCACGATTTTGATAAAACTTTTATGATATGCAGCAAGTTGCCACAATGTTGACACAACCCCGCTAGAGAGTCTGCCTGGAAATGTTGATTTGTTAAAGCAGATAGAATGTGCTACGTATACAGTCGAGAAAAAGGATGACAATTTCACGCAGGAGCCTCACAGACAGTGTGATTCCGATAAAAATAATAGTACAAATAGTGTTGCCACGCGTGATAGAAACAATAGTACTCGGATAAGTTCAGGTAATTTATTTAAAAAACGACGAATCGGTTGTAAATAGATAAGTTTAACGACAGCTTTCTTTCTCTTTGTACAGACGATGTCTCAAGTGTACGAAGTTGCGAGATGGACGTTGATGATAAGAAAAAGGAAGAAAGTAGCGCGATTAGCGCAATACCTAAACGTTATACTGCAGCCACAAGTACAGAGGAGCTGTTGAGTTTTTCTAGTGCGGAAGTCCAAACTACTCCTTATGAGATACCCGAGTCAGAGTCCGAATCTAATGAACATATTGAAAATCTCAGTGTAAGCAACTTAAATGATTAATTTTCTATTTATTTATACGTTTGCATTTGCTGTATTTTGCACAAAAACTTGCTGTATATTGTACAAAAATTTACTTCTCAAAACACTATGAATATAATATTGAACGTTATGTCATTAAAAAGATCTACATATACATTTCCAGATATTAACGAAAGAAATCTTGAATCGTACAGAATTACAAGAATGTATTGCAGAGAATATCAACAAAGCGATCATTCCTACAGACTTATCCTTGAAGAACGAGAACTTGAACGAATCAATTGTCGGTGAAGGGAACACTTCAATTATGGCTGAGTTAAATAATGCTTTCAAGTCAATCGTTGAAGCAACCGAGTCCGATCCTGTATTCGAACAATTTATCGAGGAAATAATTGGATCGAGGAAATCGAATACGGAAACGGACACAAGTCCAGAGGAAGATGGCGAAGGAAAGCTGAGCCCAAAGTCTGTTAATGAGTACGTATATATATTTTACTCTTTAAACATTTTGTTTGCAAATTAAATATCATATTTTAAAAATATTGTAATATTCTTTTAGAATACAAGAGAAACAAATGGACACAGGTATGGGCAATATCAGTTCACCAGAGCCACCAGTGGTAATGGATACAAAAGTATCAGCGGAGGACGGCACGGCGGATGTGCCTTTAAAGCACAGGCTTCGTAGTTCTTCAAGGCAACAATATAACAGAGTCGAAGACGAAGTCGACAAGGCGAGAGATCAGGAGAAAGATCAGAGCGCTTTGGAGGATCAAAACGCAGCCGCAGTGTTAAGTATTATAAACGCCAACATTATTAATAGCGTGTCCGACGGTGATAAAAAGACCCTTAACGCAAAGGAATCAGTAGCCGCGAATGACAATGAACAAAAAATGCAAGCGATGGCAGCTACGGTAAATAAGAATGATGTTGTAAAACCCTTAACGGCGACGGACGTACAGAAAACTAATAACGCTACGCTACCTGCAAACAGCAATGCACAGTCTAAAATTAGAAAGTCCACAGTAAAGCGACCAAGACCTACGAAACTCAAACGCGATCAAACGACCAGCGATAACCAGTCCAGTTCTGCCCAGTCCAGTGCGATTCAGCCCATAACGGAACACGAGATCATGACTATGCCAACACTGATAGTGTGTTCGAAAGACGAGGTGAACAATATTTTGATAAATCACTCGTCAACAACTATTAAGTCAACCTCCACTTCGCGTTTTATTCCGATCGCGCCAAAAGAGCCAGGTACAATTAAAGAAACTTTATATCTAAGGACGGTAAACGTAGCGCAGCAAATACCTATAGCCAAAACACTGCCGTCCGTGGCGGAAGAGCCAAACGATCCCGCGAATCAGGTGGAATTATTACAGTCGGCAGGGGAAAACGATAACGTGAACGAACATTTAGAACCATCCACAAAACTGACGCGACAGCACCCGTCATCGGTATTGATCAACAGGTATTAAATCGTGCACCGGCAGAACCGGTGCAAACTGGCAAGACCGTCGGAGGTGAGTCGATAACGCTTTACAGTAATGAAACCAGCGCGAGAACGTCACTGGACAGCACCAAAATGCCTATGATCAATCTGGAGGAGAATATCAGCCTGTCGAACAGCGGATTTTCTCCATATTTGAAATTCAACTGCAGCAGGACCAACCAAAGCCATAATCTCTCGGACATTGATTTAGCGCCCGTCCCGATGGAGACCGCGCGGAATACTGCGACGAATAACAGCAGCAGAATCAACCAGTCATCCAAGAACGTCGATATTATCACTAAACGCACGCCGAAATCTCTGTTGAAAAGTAGATCAAAAAATCATCGATTAAGCTTGTCCACGCCGCGCAAACGTAGCAGTCACATAAGGGCGCTCGACTTTAGCACGCCTACGAAAACGGCGAGGAAAACGAACGCGGACGGAAACGCCCAGTTTTCGTCGTCGGCAAAACGTTTGAAATCCGTCTGTCGGACTTCGTTATTCAGATCACCGGCGCTTTCCAATAATACCTCCGCACAAAAGCAAAAGAGTCCGATGAAAGTCAGTCAGCCCTATAGAATTCCCATAGCCACCAGAAGCCCCGCACCGAAGCTCATGGGTGGCTGGGACAAGTGTAATGGCGTCGGTGTCATTATAGGTGAGGTGTCGCCACACGGGAGTACCAGCGCGTCTTGTTCCTCGTCCGAGGACAGGGTCGTCCAACACAAGTCGTCTAAGCCACCAGCGGGAAGTTGGGACGCTGATTTACGCAAGAATATAGAATCGAATGAGAGGGACGAGCCGGAGAAGGATGAGCCGGAAACCAAGAGATCTTTAAAGAAGAGAAAAAATTCTTTCAAAGATAAAAATGATGTGATACGTAAGAAGACTAAATACAATTCTCGATCGTCGAAGAGTAACGACGATAGAAAAACTGGCGGTAAACCGAACAGGAAGTTTAAGCATGATGCGGAAGACACCAATGAACCGGAGGAAAATTTTCAAGAGATACAAACACAAGCAGAGTCGAAAAGTAACGAGAGAGAGAATATAACGAAAGTTGCTGTTAATATTGTAGATTCCGTCACGAGCAAGTGTGAGAAAACCAGAGCCGGTGAGACATCGATAAAAATGAATTGTACAAACGCGTCCAACGTCGATGCGGCGGCAGTCGAGAAGAAAAAACCTGTGAAAAAGTACGCGAAGCTGAAGACAATATCGACCAATTTAAGGAAGTCCAATAACGAGACAGAGAAGAGCACGGAGGTCGCGCAAACCAATTCGCAAGTGTCCGAGATGTCGAGAATTTTATCCGTGGACAGCACGCAGCATGTTCTGCGAATGCCCGATATGATAAGCTTGGAGACACCTAGGAAGTTCGACGACATGTCCGGTCCTCCACCGACGCCGAGGGTGCTGAGTCCCAGTAGCAGTCTGATTACGCCATTTATCAAGATCAGCGAGGACTCCACGAAGATACGTAGCTTCATCACCACCCCGGAATTCCCGATAACCCCGGGCGTGGCTATAACTCCAACCTCGAAGGAGGAGACGACGAGGGATATTATCAAGAGAAACGAGTACAATTCCGCGTACTACAAGCCCACGTCTGAGCAAGCTCAGGATTCTGATCTGAAGGCATCCAAGCCTAAGGACAGCGTTACGCAGGAGTCGCCAATTTTATCGTCGTCGCACATAAAATTACACTCGACGCACAACAGTCTCAGCTCCGGTGATGGTTATCAGGCGTGTACCTCTTCTAAACTGGAGATAACGGAGTTCGAGGTGATTAAGGAGAATTTACCGAGGGAGGAGGCCATCAAGGAGTTCAAGATCGCGTCCAAAGATTCGGGAAGCGCAGTAGAACTCAACGCTTCCATAGATCACGTGGATCTGAGACAGATAAACGAATTCAAAGACGAGCATCAGGAGGCAATGATCGACGCCAATGATTCTCACAATGACTCTGTGGAAAGCAGCTCTTCGTCATCCGACACGTCGTCGTCGTCGTCGTCCTCCTCCTCCTCTTCCTCCTCTTCCTCCTCCTCGTCGTCGTCCAGCAGCTCGAACTCGAATACGTCGTCGAATACGTGCTCGCCAAACGGGAAATGCGACAAAGCCCCGAATAAAACTAGCACGGACATCAGTAGCGACTTCTTCGCGGAGAAGGGCGTTAACGCGCCGAAAGATATAAATGACGCGTCGAATATACCAAGCGACGCATGTAAACAGTCGGGCGTTGCGATCGAAACCGAGTCTTCGCCGAAGAAAGTATTCGCGATCGCGAAAACCGACGATCAACTGAAGAGTACGATCAAGGAAACCCCGGCTAAAGACGAGACTCTGTTGAACGAAGCTGATATCTCGGAAACGCCCAGCGGCTCGAAAAGCGGAGTGGAAACGATTAACTTGACGACGAAGATATCGGCGATTATGACGGAGGACGAGAAATTGTCGAGATCGAACAAGCCGCCGAAGGGTGGCGGTAAGGTACAAATGGACAAACAGCCGAGAGCACAGCCGAAGATAATAGACATACAGTGTATCCGGCCAGGATCATCGAAATACATCGAGTTTGTAAAGCCGACCAAAGACGATTGCCAATCCGAGCAGAGCGCACCCGCGCATAACAAGTTGATTCACCAGCAGATATTGGAAGAGAAACGACAGCGCATCATGGCTAAGATCAAAGATAATTCGAAGGTGAATCTTGGTCCCGGTGGGACGAAGCGTAAGCGCATTTTAACGAGCAAAGCCGCCGACGCTCTGAAGAAGTTCGGCAGAGGAAACCGAGGTGTACGTCCAACGGTCAAATATCCCAGAGATGTCAATAAGAATACAGAGCCGCAGGATAATCGACGGGAAACCTCGGGAAGAAGTACGCGAAGGAAATATGAGCCGCAGAAACAGAATCTCGCGAATAATTGCTGTGATAACGGGGAAGAAACGACGGGCCGAATTGCCGCGTCGAAAAGTACAGATCCTAGCTTATTAACGAATCACGGGAATAACGGTGACAAGCCGCTCGATGATTATGCGACAAAACAATTACGCGAAAGTAATATTTATGGAAATAATACAGCTGGAAATTGTAAAAGCGAATCCGCGCAACCGCTTAATTCCTTATCAGAAGATCAAGATTATTTAAAAGAGATGCCAGATGCGAAGGCGGGTGTGGAGGAGAACTGCAGTATTAAAAGTAATATCGACGAAAAAGGAACGGGAGAAACGCTTAAAAATACTAACGTACAGGGAAAGATCTTAAAGAAGGAAACAAATTCGGAGAAATATATTGTGCAAGAAACATTAGCTCCGGACAAGGTAAAGCCTGATCAAACGGAAGATAAAGTAACGAAACTGAGACAGTTTTCAAATCACGTTGACGTTAAGTCCGACTACGAAATAATATTAAGGCACAAGGTGAATCAGGTGAAGCGCGACTTATTTAGCGACGAGGAGAATGATCACAGAACACCTTCGACCGTAAGTGCGAAAGATAAAACCAAAAGAATCGCCGATGCGGAAGTTCAAAGTTCCAGTCTCGTTGAAGCTCCCCTCCCGGGCAGGAAGGAGAACGCCAACGTCGAGAATCCCAAGCAGGAGTTATCGACCGTTCTCCAGTGTTTGCAATTAGTGCCCGCGTCCAAGAAGGAGAATTTGCACAATGAAAATAAAAATCAAAGCGAACAGGAGCACAAAGAGCGGAGCGAGCCTGAAGGCGAACCTGAAGGTGATAATGAGTCGGCCATTCAAACGGCCAATGTTTGTAATTACAAAGCCGAGTATCACTTTGTGTACGACGACAGTGTACCGATGAGAAAGAGAAGAAGGAGGTACAGCGGACATGAGTTGCAGATCGAGATAAATTATGCGGACCTCTCGGATCCGAATCCCGTTGAGTGCATCAAGATAATGAAAGCTACCGAGTTCGAGGAAATATTTAATCTCCCGCCTAAGAAACGAACAGCGAATAAAAAATCACGCGCGAAGAATGAAAAAATTTGCGAAACACCTAAGACAGACAAGGACATGTTCAATCTAAAAGATGTCACCACAAAACCTCTGGCCACGTCATCTCCTGTAGACGAGCCATCGAGAGCTAAAACGAAGAAGGCAATTGTTAAAACTGCTGCGACAAACAAAACTAATAATGCGCAGTCTGATGCAAAGAAAAAGCAAAAGCCGGATAAACAGGAGAAAGGTAGAATGTTATAAAGATATTTTGTTATTCTTGATAAAATCAGCTTGTTTTTTTATTGCAAAAGTTAGATAATGTAAATGCTGTTTTACAGATATTACTACCAAGAGCCGAAAAAGAAAACTGTCAGAAGCAAAAGAAACCAAACAGGTAATTAAATAAATACAAAATACTTATGCGTCTCTAATATAATTGTGTTATAATACAAATATGTTTTTCTATTCAGGCTGAGAAGAAATGCACGACTGATCCGCAAATATTACTCAGTAACTTCGATGAAGTAGACCTGAATAAATTCCTGTCTACAGTTCACGGACCTGAATAAATGCTCTCTCTCTCTCTCTCTATTGTATATATGTATAAAAGATGTAAATATATTATCTTTTCTATTTTTATATAATTATAGTGTTAGAACATTAGAAGTAAAGTATTATAAAGTATTTTGTTATTCGGATCTAGATTATTCAACATTTACTTCTTTTCGTGACTTTCATGTCACTTCCATGCGATTAGCATTTTTTAATTAATAAAATTTTTTTAAATTTGAACAGTGCATTGTAGATAAATATTTATTTTCTTTTAATTTAAAGACAAATGTTTTAAGTAATTTCTTAACTTTTTTATTGTATTAACATGAGATAGACAATATAAAAATGTATATATATTAAAAAATATATTTTTTCATACCAATATTAATATTGATATCTATGATGACAAAATTTGTTATCATAGACTATATCTAATTGACAATATCCACCGAATTTTATTTGTTTTTCTTATTATAGTAACAAAAATAATAGGAAAAATAATTTTCTAACAAATCATCTGCAATTGTATTGACTATGTATGGCACAAAATTGTAGAGATGATAGAGACCGTAGGTGTATTGCCCGTCAGATTCAACAGATTAACGTTGCGTTCAAAATAATCAATAATTTAAAAGATAATTTTTTCCGTGTAAAAAGATAATACTAGCACCTGATGTTTCCCTCCTCTTAAATTCTCGCACTCCAACTGGAGTTGCTAGGAACTCTAGCTCCAGCTAGAGATATGCGATTTTACAATATATTGCCAGCACCACGAGTTGAGGTAAACCGCGTTGTAAAATCGAATAATATCAGCGCGTGTTTTAAAATATAAAACTAAAGTGTTATAATTCATGGTTTAATAGTAGACCGATAAACTAATTGAAAAAGCTTTAAAAAATTTCGTCAAAATTACTCTATATGAATTGATATTTCAGTCAATTAATTTTTATTGTTACAATAAATCAACCACCTCCAAACTGCGCGCCGTAATTTTTATTGACTTGAAACACAGTTCTTACATAAAGCCGAAATCATTTGTAACGAATTAAATTGACGAACAATTTAATATCTTACATGCCTCGGTAGTCGAATGGTAGAACGCTCGTCCGGCAAACAGGGAGAGCCGGATTCGATTCCCGGCTGACAGTGAGGCGATATTTTTTGCAATAAATTTCTTCACAGGTTTGGGGGGAGGGGCATACTTATAGATGTAAATTAGCATCAAAAGATATTAAATTGCTCGTCAATTCGTTACAAGTAGATTCTATGCAGCTTCGTAAAAATTGTGTTTCAAGACCGATAAAAATTATGGCGCAGTTTGTATATATAGACTATAGTTTTTATGTAATTTGATATTGTAACAATAAAAATTAATACACACCATAATACCCGTGTTGGCTCGATAAATATTTACTTCAATATATATTTCTTATATTATGTTTAACATTTATTGAATATTTATTATTATTCAGTTTTTCTGAGAAAAGCTTAATTTTTAAGAAGCTTCTTAATCTTTTCGATTGTTTTAATTCAAGTTTTCTAACGAACTTTTAATTCAAGAACTCTATGTGTCACAATGTTCGTTATTGAAAACAAAGAATTCACAGTTTGAAATTTGGTAAACATCTTTTATATCCACACGATCATACGATGTTCACATGACGTACTTGTTCTAGCATCAGAGATTGACATTCGAGTCAGTCGGTGATCTCTCGAGACGGCAATAAGACGGCAGTCGCAATTACGCTGGTATATCTCTGACATTAACGGCTCATGGCAATAACCGTAATTAATTGATTGTAAGTACTATAAATTTATTGTATTTTAATAAGCACACAAGTGTAACGTACAAAGCAAGCTGTTGCAGGAAGCTGTTAGAATTTAATAATAACTAAATGTATACATTTATCTCTTGTTAGCGATATAAAAAGTACATAAAATGTCATTCAAATAATTCCAGAAGACAAAACACAACTAAATTTAACTTTAACTAAAATGTGAATTTTTATTTTTTTAATAAATCGAAATGTTTCTGTTTCTTATTACAATTAACGAAAATTTAGAAAAACGAAACATTTAATATAATTTTAAAATAATTTTAACAAGCAAAATTGTTGAACATAGAATAAAAATTTTAAACAAACAAGAAACGAAATTATAATTATTATTAACAAATAGATACAAACAATCTTATGATGAAAAGAATATATTTTTTTTTAATTTTTGTTTTTCTTTTAATAATTCAAATTGTTTACTATTCTTTTCTCACAGTCCAGGAATATTTTATGGAAATAAGAAAAAGGAAATTAGATAAAGTCTGTCATTTTTGCGAAAATAAATTTAATAAATAAATATTAGACGAAAATATATTAAAAAGCACAAATAAATAATCGAGAAACAGATTTAATTTCTTCGTTCTTCAAACAATTACTCTAACTGATAGACTAGGCAATGCAAATCTCACATATCAACAAAATATGTGATTATGTTGTTTATTTCTACTGGCAAATATTCTACAAATAATTGAACACGTAATTTTTTGTTAAATGCCTAAATTTATTTTTTATACCGATTAATTTAACGTACCATTTGTTTTTTTTTTTAAAAGGTTTTATAAAAAAAAGAGGATTAATAGTAAGATTAATTGATTCCATCAAATAAAATATATACAATATTAAATGTAGTAGATCTTATATATGATGATTTTTTCTTATTCTTTCAATTTTCATATAAATATATAATATTAACATACAACTTTGAACTGCATTGTATAACCATTAATTTGATCTCCTTGTTTAAAAAATCATAGATACGTAAACCGAATGCCAACATGGGATTCCTAAAGTTGTTATTAAATATCGGTGGCCTAATATTGGTCACAAGCACGGTATTTTGCATCGATCATAATTTGAAAATTCATCGTTTACCCGGCAACGCGATACCAATTCATTATAACATTAAACTGACACCGCAACTCGAAGAAAGCAATTTTTATGGTGAATCGAATGTCAGTATCGAAATTCGTCATGTATCGTCAAAAATAAGCTTACACTCGAGTGATTTAAAAATAAATCAAGCGGCGACAAAGTTGATTAATGACATCGGAACAGCTTATAAACCGATGAAACATATTCATGACGACATAACAAATATTTTGACACTTACTTTCGACAATGCATTATCGCCCGGTCTTTATACTCTGAACATGAAATTTGCCGGTAATCTATCTGACAAGTCTCTAAAAACAGGTTTTATGAAATTTCTGAACACAGATAAAGAAGGAAACGCCACGTAAGTAAATATTAAAGTATTTAAAATATATATTCAATATAAATATTATTTATTATTAGCTTCTTTTGTTCTTATCGCAATATTACCATAACGTGTAGAACTCGGGTAGAACAGTGCATAAATACATAGCTCGGTAATTATACTTAAAAACGTTTTTTAATATGTACATACAATTATAATAAAATATGTGCATAATGTAATATTTAGAAAGATAACTTTAAAATAAAACGGCACGAGTACAAAACATTTCAAAAATTTTGTTTCAATAAAATTATTTTTACATAATCTAGTAATAAACAACAACTAGTGTTCTCTAAATTGTTTTTTATCAGACATAAGTAGCAAATTTGCTGTTATTTAAACATTCAACTAAATTATAGACTGTTAGCCATAACACAATTTGAACCGAATGGAGCCAGACGAGTGTTTCCCTGTTGGGACGAGCCAGCGTTAAAAGCCACTTTTGACATCTCCGTAAGGCATCATCAGAAATACAAGGTATTGTCAAATATGCCAATACGAGAGGAATTTTTAGAACAAAATAGCATGATGCGGACACATTTCAACATCACACCAGTAATGTCCACTTATCTCGTGGCGATTGTGATTTCGTTCAATTTCGTCCGCGTTGGGAACGCGAACGAGACCATCAATATATGGTGCAGACCGTCCATGATATCACAAGTCAGATTTGCACATAGTCTTATCAAGAAAATCGTGCCACTCATGGTCGAGTATACTAATAGTTCCGAAAAGATACCGAAAACGGATTACGTCGTGGTACAGGATTATGTGCATGACGGCATGGAAAATTGGGGACTCATTGTTTACAAGTAATATATAATTTCAAAAAATCTTAAATTAAAATTAGCAAATAATACTTTCAGCATTCGAAATTTAACAATTAAGTACATGTGCATATTTTACAGATACTCAAGTAATAATGCATATTTAGATTGTCTTGAATTTAATACCATTTCATCCCCTTCCTTTCTTTCCACTCTCATTACATTTGTACATACAATTGTACATATATAATAGTGTATATCATATATATATATATATATATATATGGAAAAATTTCAAATATCTGAATTCGCGTAAGAAAATTATGAATTACGTAATTATTCGCGAATACGTTAAACTGTATATTCACGACAGGAACGTTTTATATGATTATATATTATGTTATATTTTTCAGTGAATCAAAATCTATCTACGATCGTATCACACAACCAACATACCAAAAGATAAAAGTAGCGTCGTTAATAGCACACGAAATCGCCCATCAATGGTTTGGCAATTTGGTCACTCCATCTTGGTGGTCCTACTTGTGGTTAAGCGAGGGACTTGCAATATTCGTCAAAACGCACATCCTTAGCAAAGTAATTTAATATCACAAATGCAAGGTTGTTCATTAAAAAAAATTTTAAATACGTTTTATAATCTATAAATAAAATACTGTTGAGAGATCTAATACATCAATTAAATACAAATAAATACTAAATTTTTATTAAATATAAAAAATGGAAATGAATAAAAGATGTCACGTGCTTAAATTTAGAATGATGAAAAAACGTATTTAATGCATTTTCAAATAATTATAAAAACAATTTAACACAAACTCTTATAGAAATTTAAAGATATTTTGTTTTTTGCAATTGTCGTATTAAATATCCGCTATTTTAAATTCTACCTAACTTTTATTATATAAACTAATTTATCTCTAATGTCAACTTTTCTTTGAGTTTTTAATATTCAGTTACATTATACAGAATTCTTTCTTCTAGATTTATAAAGATTGGCGAACGATGGATTTTCTTGTGATTCAGACCTTACACGATGCTATGCTCTTAGATACTGGTTTTTTGAATTCTGTCACAATAAAACTTAACGGTACCTTTGAAAAACTACAGCTGTTTTCTCATGAAGTTTACGAAAAAGGTAAGATTTCATAAATATAATTAAACATTACTGTTCACACATAGACAGTTGAAATTTGAAACATTTCTGTCCACACATGAATTTCTTAATGAGTAGTTCAAGGAAAAACATAAAACATAAAGCTAATAGCAAAAAAATTCTCCTTTTCTGTAATAGATGTTTATATACATCTCAATTTTATAAGTACTTTAAATGTAATCTACTTTAAATATATTATTAGCCGATATTTCATGACATGTATTATTATAATAGCGCCAGTTTTATTACGCATGTTACATCATACAATTACTGACGAGGTATTTCAAAAAGGTATCATCACGTATTTGGCTACGCAGTAAGTATGTTTAATATGTATCACAATATTAAGTATTATAAGTATATAATAATACTTCTTATACTCATATTGAAAAAAAATGCGTCACCAGAAACATGAATTTACGTAGATCCAATATCACATTGTTACTTAATTATAGGCTATATACTTTATTTTTTATTTTATTATAATTCAAGTTATGTTAATTTTAAGATATACTTTATAAACTTCTACGTGAATATAAGTTAAATTGTACATTAATATTTACCTAAAACATTTAATAGACATTTATATTCGCGAATGTGTAACAATATGTAGTGCTGGACAATGCCATTTTTCTAATTTAGTCAATTTAGCTCGGTCACTCCGGACGATTTGTGGAACGCTATGCAAAATGCTCTAGACGAATCTGACATCCCGCACGAAGATTACAAAGTAAAGGAAATGATGGATACATGGATGAATCAACAAGGTTATCCTGTAGTGAACGTAATGACAAACGAAACTGGCGAAGTGACAATATCACAAAAATGTGTCCAGTCAATTATAGTCCATAATAAAGTTATCAGTTGTAATACATGGTGGATACCCGTGTCATTCGCAACGCATTCCAATCCCGATTTCTCCAATACTGTGCCCAGTCATTGGTTACGACCAGATCAAAATATAAGCCTTCAAATTAATCCAGATGATTGGATTATTCTCAATTTGCAACAAACTGGTAAGTATAAGTAATAAGTTTATGCTTCTTTACTTATATTATTTATCCTATTGTCACGAAAGTTGTTACATAATTCGTCTTTATGTGTATTTTTTTATTTATAAGCTTAATTTATGAAGGTTTATATGATTAAATTCATCGAAACTTTGCCAAATTATTAATATAAAATATTTTTGATATTTTTTTGTTAATTGCAAGTATATATTATATTTGTTATACGTTAAGAAAATGCAAAATATTGATATGCGAAAATATATCTAATAAAATCGAATTAAAAAATCTATAATAATAAGTATAATGGATAATGCTACAGGATACTATCGTGTCAATTACGATACCACGAATTGGAACAAGATTATACGTTACTTAAATTCTGACAACTACACGAATATACACGTTCTTAATCGTGCACAAATCATCAATGACGCATTTTTCTTAAGGCTGGAGCAACAAATGTCTAGAGATCAATTCTTCGATCTTATAAATTACTTATCGCGAGAGACAGATTATGTGGCATGGTACCCAATGTTTCAAATTTTAACACGGCTGTCGCAGTCGAAGTATCTTTTACTGCCAGAGAGCAGAGTTTTCTTGGTAGGTAATAATTTCATAAAAATAAAAGAAAAATTTGTAGTATTACAGTTGATTCTTCAATTTGTTCAGTTCGACATTTACACATTCTCAATCTAATCGATATCTCGTGTTAAATTATTATTACAAAAGTTTAATAATGTCGATCATCAAAAATCCTCTTTTTTCCCTTACAAGTAAAAGTTAGACGCAAGTTCACCGATGACTCTCATGTGATGTGAATGTATATTGAAGCACTTACTTTATGATTTTTAGTCACACATAATTAAACTCCTTGACAAACTTATTCAGAGCGTAGGATATGACGAAGATTTTAGTGATGATATCACAGAACAGAAAAGGAGAGACGCCATACAGTGGGCGTGTGCTCTTGATCATACGGGATGCAGGCAAGAGGCTGCCCTTAGATTGAGCCAACATCTCAATTCTCCTACAATTAATAACTACACGTAACTCTTCTTACTATCCCTAATAATCACTATTTTGTGTGCGTGCGTGCGCGCGTACGGGCGCGCACAGGCATATAGACTTAATGTTAGACAAATCTCTATTTCCTCAAGTCATCGATATTAAACATTCTCCTTGCTTATAAGCAACAATATATGCCATACATTGACAAGCAAAGTACTGGTACAACCTTCTTTCAATTAATCCCTCACTATACATATAATAGCATGACCGCGTGGCAATCGTATTATAGTGAGAGAATAATACAGAGAACGGGAAGTTAGTTTTATAAGAGTATGATTGTTTAAATACAAATGTAAAAATACGAAACTTAATACCTAGTAATAATAAAATAGGAAGTCAGATATACGTATGAAATGTATGTTTTCTTAATAAATTGATATGTATATATTTTAGAATGCTACCATGGTGGCAAGAATGGACGTACTGTGCTGGTATGATGAAAGCTACTGAGTTTGATTGGAATAAAATGTTAAAATTATATCAAAAAAAATCTGATAAAATGATATTGAAAAGTTTGAGTTGCGTTGAAAATCCTGTTATCATCAGATATTATTTAAATATGACAGCATTAAACACTTCATTATTTTCGGATGAGAATCATTATTTTGTTTTTAATGCTATTGTTAAAAATCATGCGGACAAGCCTTTGATCCTTGATTACATATTGAATAATTTTAATATTATAAAACCTAGGTAATAACAATCATTTTCACATAAATACACTATAATGCTTTCTTAATCGTATAAAAATTTGCTTCTTAAAAACATATGCGTTAATCTTTTGTTTTTGTAGATCAGTTGCTATTGATACAATAATGGAACTTATTCTTAAAAATCTTCATTTTAAGGAAGCTATTAACAAGGTACATTTTATAATTCTAAATTCATATTCATTTACCTATTGGCTATGAATAACGCTTTAACTGTGGCGCGTTTTAAATAACAACTGTTTTTTGTGCAAAATTATAAATTAATGCCATTATACATAAACTAATTTAAGTTTAATAAATAATTATGTTTGCTTCTTTAACTGTACTTTTGTATTCTTGTCGAACACCGTGTTGTATTGCAGCGTACTTTATGTAAACTAAATTTGTATTATTCGCGAATTAATATTAGATCGTTAATCTAACTAAGAAAAGCTTAGAAAAATATTATGAAAATTATCCTATCATAAATTGAGACTTCAGTCCAGTTCTCGAGGACGTATTTGTTTTCCGCAAATAAAAGACAATTTTTACGGTATATGTATATATGTATTTCCGCAGCTAAAGAGTTAAATATATTTTTTCCATTTTTGTATATCCATTTTTGTATATCTATTCATTAATATTATGTTTAATGCAAAATTCTATTTAGTCGAATTGCTGCATAAGAATAAATTATTAGTTATTGATGATAAACGTCTCAAATTAATCTGTTTCAGGTGAAAAAGTTTTCAGAAACTAATATCAATCAAGATCCATTGATTTTATCTAAAATTCAAAAATTAATAGAAGATCGAAAAACAGAACTTACAATTTTTTCCCAATTTGGACCTTAAAAAAACTGTTGCGCAATAATCCCATAAAGCATGGACTATAACAAGAAAATTATTTTTATCGTCACGCAAGTTCATTTCGTTGTCAAATAAGAAATATAACAAAATTATATCTATATCGAACAGAACGCAAAGTTTTTAGCTATAATAAATAATAAACCTATTGTAACTTTACAATGCATTATCGTGATTATGATTGTATGCGCATAAAAATATATATTTATAATGCAAAAGATTAAATTCTGCTGCATCATATTCTTGCATAAGCAAATATATATTATTCTTAAACGGGGACTGATAAGTGTCAAGGATACAACATGTAGAGAATGCAAATTTCAGATGAAAATAAAATAATTATTATACAAATATTGTTACCACACCTTAAATATATGTAAGTCGCTTATGAAACAGTGTCTGCTGAAAAACATTACGTAGACATTAACGAGAAAAACAGGATATTTTTAAACTGATGCTTATACACTGTTTTCAAAGCTAGCATTTTTATAATGAATTTTAATGATTACACTGAAAACAAAATTTACATTATTATTTACAGTTTTATTAGTTTACAGTTTTATTATTATCTTTGAAATATATTACAATTTTTCACAATGATACGATTGTAATTATTAATATCGCATAAAATACTGGAAAATCGCGAATATGATTCATTACATTTTTCATCTAATTACACATGCAATTCTATATTACGGACACATTACTCGTAGAAATAACGACAGACGCAATAATGATGTTTATAAAATAATTTCTTTGGTTTTAGTATAGTTCTGAATCAACGTTACATGATAATTTAAAAATATTTCGATATATACATATACTTCACACATTACTTTTTTTATAATCAATATAGATTGTATTTTAAGTATTATCCGAATTATCTTGCACGATTACAAAAAATGTTTCAAGCAGCCAAGCTCTTGCAGATGCAGCAATGCATCAGCTAGTATTTTATTTACTTCATCTCCGCCTAGACATTTTTGCTTCTTTAAACCTTCTATGATTCCTAGTTGCAACAGTTTCTGTATTAATTCTCTTGGTTTAGCATATCCCAATATTGTCGGCAAATATATGGACATGATAAGGAAACCGAAAAGAGCACCCCTCCTCCAATCATCCAACAGAGCATCGTACGAATATTTCTCAATATCTTGAATATCAGCGTCCAGCAGATACTCCATCAGCGCGTCGTGGTAGGCCCGCATGATATCGGAAAATTTTTCCCTTCTCTCCTCATTCGAGCAACAGAGGCACAGATACGTGGAAAGATCGATAACGGGCGTCGAATACGTGATAAGCGCAAAATCGATCAGCATCGCGCGGCATTGCCCGTCCTCTTCCGCCTTATTGAAGAGAATGTTGCTCAACATAAAATCGCCGTGGCACAACGTGGACAGGGGCTCGAGCGGCTTCACCACCTTCATCATCACCTCGTCGAACGCGTTCGTGAGCAGGGCCTCCATCTTATTGCAGAAAACTGCGTCGTGGCCCTGACTGCGAAGATACTCCACCGCCCGCGACCCCATAATTTTGATACCCTCCTCGTAGAGGTTCCCCATCTTCACGAATCTAACTTCCTGACGTCGCGCCACGATGTCGTAGAACTTCTCCCGCTGCAGCTCCTTCATGACGTACCCCTTCCCGTGGAATCGTCCCAACTCGCGCATCGCCGCCAACGTGTACTCCAACGGTGGATTGTACGGATACGGACAGGCGTAATATCCTCGTTTGTTGACGTTCTCCAGAGCGATCACCGCGTCGGTGGGCGACAGTTTGGCGGCGTAGATGCATCTTGGATAAATCAGGTACCTCTCGTCCGATTGATTTCGATAGAACAGGATCTCGTTGTGAAACTGAGGCTCGATGCATGTCTGCTGATAGAAGTCCCGCCCGGGTCTCTTGAGTATCATAAACAATTCCTCGTTCCGATCGTTTGTCTTATTCTTAAATTGCAGGTGCACGTGGTACACGGTGGACGCGATTAAACAGAGATTTTTGAATAGTTCGTATCGAGTCTCGTCGACGTCCGGTCCAAGAGTCTCGATGATCTTCGGCATCACCTTGTCGATCCATTGCTGGGAATCTTCGTCGTGGGACATTTTATTTGAATACGCGAATACTCGTGTATAAAATAATATATGAAATAATTTGATTTATTGATCAAGGATCGAGGAGTTTATATTGCCGCGACACAGCTTATAGCTATAGCTTATGCGAACACTATACTTATTGCAAAGTAGCAATAGTTTAGCTTTCTACTGTGAACTATGCAGCGGTTTGCAGAAAAACAAATATATAAATATACCGCTGCCGCGCATTAGTGTGTTCCTTGATGATTTAATTTTTGTTGAGATAATTTTGTCAATTATTATCAATTTTAAGTAACGGATATACGACGTCAAAAGACGAAAGGAGGGAGTTAGATTAATATTCATACATCAAGATAGTGCTGAATTAGTCAAATATATCACACGTGCGCAAAGATAATGCAGACCAAAAAGTCTTTTTGAACTCGCTTCCGCTTTTGATGTTTGATAATAATTCAAATTAATGTCCGGGACCCGGGTCTGAATATCTTTTCCGGATAAGAATATCTTTTTATCGACGGTCAGAGAATTTACAGTCGATAACGTCAATATATTCTTCAATTTTGCTCGATCCAATATCTGATACCTGATGTCGATTAAGCTTTGAATCACGAAAATTTATCTACAGCTGGCTATTTCACAAGTTGAAAAAAATGTTCACTGCGCTTTAAACACCTGCTCCTTCTACACATTCATATAACTTTTTTTTATTCAGCATATTATATCTAATATAAAAGAGAAAAACAGAAATAAAATAGAACAGTATTAAAAAATTTTGAATAACTGCACAGCTGCATAATTATATCGAATATCGATAAACCTCTCTAACTCAACCTCTCTCCTCTTTTCTGTTATTATTGCTGGCGGTTGATGGTATTCTCGCCTGCACTGCACGAGAATTCGAGAGCTGTCAAAGTGTCTTTTTTTTCGGATCGTTAAGAGGGATATCTCAAATTCTCAGGCTGCACAAAAAACGAGTGAGAAAGGAGGAGGGAATTTGGCGCTCAATCACGTCGTAATTATACGCGCGCGAGATGTGTCAGTGGCACGCGACACGCGCGATCGAGCGGGATCCGTTGCGACGGGAATTAGGTTATGCTCCGAGCATCGGCGATTAAAAGCGACGGACGTCATCGCTGCAGGGTTAGCGCGTTATCCCCTGGCGTTCCCCTGGCGTGTACGAGCCAATGGCTCGGCCCTCCGTCTCGGCGCAATGCGACCTGGTCGCGTCACACATGGACGGGGTCCACGTGAAAATCGCGGAGGCCTACAAACCGCCGAGGAAGATCGGCCTACCCGCGGCGTACAACAACCGATTGCCGGACGTGTCGAAGTTGATGTACGACTTCAGCCTGGAGAAATCGGTGCTCGAAAAGGTGAGGCATAATCTCCGTTTTTATTTTTACACACCGTTGACATTCCACTGGGATGTGAATGAATGGCTCTGTGATTTGTACGTGGCGACGTGGATCTGCCACGGCGGTTATCGTGAATCAATTAAATTGCAATCAGATGTGCGAGTGGCGCAAGGCTAGACAGGCCTACAGCAAGGCGCGTCAGGCTCGGCTGAGGGAGAAGAGGAAGAAGGAGAAAGAGGAGGCACCTCCGTCGCCACCGCCGCCGCTCGCGGATTGCGTGAAGCAGGTACCTGTCAACGCGCCACCCGCTCCGGAAACAATACTCACGCCCCAGCCGCTGTCATCGCCTCCGGCGAACGACCTTCAGGATCATGTGAAGACCAACGGGGACCTGGACTTCGCCGACTTCGACAACGACACGAGCAGCCCCTTCGACAATATGGAATTGAAGACCATCAACGACATGGAGGAATTAGCGCAGGTTAATGAAACGGGAGCTTGTGTTGCTCTCCAAATTTCTTAAATATAAGCATTGAGATTCTTATCATCATGAATCTCATATTCGATCGTCTTGACGTTTAATAAATTTAAACTTAATTCCCTTTTCAATGCAGGTTTTACAGCCTAGGTCGCAATGGATGCCCGCGGGAAAACTGGAGAATATCATAAGTGAACTAACGATCGACGAGACGTCCGAGATTTGCAAGGAGGAGGAAACCGATACGGAGAGTCCGGTGGACGACGAGGCCGACGCGGACGCGCTCAGCGTCGAGAATCACCGTAGCGTCTCGACGATAATGCAGGAACTTCAGAAGGAATTGGAACGGCCTGTTATGGAGGTAACACACTTTTTTTTTTTTTCTTCGCGGTGTAAAAATACCGATCGCGACTGACTCGATCGATCTCTCCTTTGCGAACAGAACTGGAAGCCGTGGCCCGATCTGGAGAGTCCGGACAGCGACGCCGCGCATGCGACCCCGCGGCACGACGACTCGAATCACGCGAAACCGCCGGCGGACTTGTTGTCGGGCATGACGGAGGACGATCTGAAGCTGGTCATGCAACTGGGCGACATGGGATTCCCCAAGAGCAGAGCGGCACGCGCGGTACTGGAGCTGGGACGTGCGAACGAGAAGAAGATCGTGGAATACCTACTGGCCGTCCAGTCCCTGGAGGAGACCGGCGTCCCGAGCGACTACGCCGAGACGGCGCTGACGCTCGCGCAGCACGATCAGTCCAAGGCGAAGGTCTACTACGAGAATCTGTGCACGCTGAAGGATCTAGGATTTCCCGAGGACAAAGCTTCCGCGGCGTTAGTCAAGTGTAACTTCGACCGCGACAAGGCGTTGGATCTTCTGATCGCTTGAGTGGACGATCGAGTCGCCGTCGCCACGAGGAGAGAGACCTTAATATTTTTCTTTCGCAACGCAATTATTAATGTGAAAAAAAAACATAGCAAAACGGAGAATCCTGGGACTTTTATATATCGCATGGAAGGTACATCGAGACACGATCACAAACGTATATTTTAATATAAAAAAAAAAGATACCGTTATCAGTGAGACTAGTCTTGAATAACGATACCTCAAGGAAGTGAATATGTGGAATATGATGTAATAATTTAACACTCCGCTAATCCGTCGATTATGTCATGGAATTTGAATTCCTGCTGGGCATTACTGAAACTATTGGTAGCCGCAATACTGCGAAATAAATTATTATAAACAAGCTAGAGATTTAATTTACAAACTTACAAGATTTCAGTTGAACGCGCAAGAATTCTTTATTCTCCTAAAACTTTTTATATACAGAAATGAGTTGATTAGATTACCTAGTGAGGAGGGCTCATCAATCGATGGTGTGCCAATGAAGATTGATAGTCGTACTCGAGTGCGCTGCGAACGCGGTGGCACAACTGCAAAAGAAAAGATGAAAAAAAAAGAATACTCGCGAATCGATGTACTCAGGTATATTACAAGATTATTTTGTTACCTTCTGCTACAACATAGAGCGATCATTATCGTGGACTCCGCGTGGCGGCTGACGCCGATAATGATCCAGGCTTCTGTGAATATCGGTTGCTGGCATTGAGAATTTACGCAGATACAAGTGGGTCCGTTCGTCAGTAAATTGTACAAAGTATAGCTCGTAGACAGTGTGAAGTCCAGTTTAGTCTTTTTAAGAAGCGGTTTGTAGAGTATCGTTACGTTCGCGGGAGATACGGTAACGTCGAGCGTGTGCTTGTATCTGAAATGTGTATACTTGCGTTAAACTCTGCGAGATATTTTTTTCCCCCAAAAAAGGTGGGGGGACGATGACGCGAGAGATTCCTGTTTACAAGGTTCCTCAATTACCTCTCGGTGTAAACTTTTCTGAGCGCCAATTCCCACAGTGAGCAAGTCACGTTCTCGCAAACCTCGTGAATCTTTAGCAGCTGTCGTGGCAATTCAATTATAATATCGGCATCTGTCTCAAACAGCTCCTTCATCCTTACGTATAGTTTTATGTTTGTGTTTAGGACATTTGTGTCATAATGCGTCTTAAAACATCTGTGATTATACATATATATATATATAGATTGTAAATTTACTTTATATATATATTATATATACTTTGGAAGTAAAGAAATAGTTGTTTATGCAGAATTTATATTTTTCATTCGCGCGTAATTTATTCCTAGCCTAGGCTTCACGGCTACTCACCCGAATGCCAAACAGTCTCTGTCGTGGACGACCGTCGTGTGTAGTTGCGAGAGTAATTGAAATAGAAGCGGATACGACACATAATTCAGGTATTCGTTGGCATCGAATCGAATACAGGGAGCCGAGAGAAATCCATTCAACGGCAAATATCTCAACCTGGAAACATTTGTTGAGAAACAAATAGAGAACTCGAAAATATGTAGCTCGACTGAGCTGTGCGAAGTAATGGAATATTTTTATAACTTGGTTTAACAAACGGAATATTTATTTTGCGAAATATTAATATACAATTAATGACCTGTTTGAGCAGACGGAGATCATGGTGAGCTCAGGAGCTATGGTCAATCTGTTGGGTAATTCCCTCAGCTGATTGTTATCCACATACAGCTCTCGAAGTCTTGGGAGAGAGCCGATCCATTCCGGCAGCGCGACGATCTGGTTACCCGAGACAGACAGTATTTCCAGATTATTCAGTTGGCTCAATTCTGTTTTCGTTTCGTTCACGTGAGTCAGTAAATCCGTTTCTCTCTTCGACAATCTCGCAACAATCTGATAATCTCGACGAACTTACCAACCGGTAATCTCTCTATGAAATTGTCGCTCAAGAATAAGGATTTCAGATTGCTCAGACTGCCGATGCAGGGAGGTACGAGCTCCAATCGGTTGGCGCTCAAATCCAACACCGTCAGCTGGCTCATGCCGCCCAGCTCCGCGGGCAGCCGCTCGATCCGGTTGCCGTACATGTACAAGTTAGTCACGTTGAACAGCTCCGTGATCCACGGCGGCAGAGTGGTGAGCCTGTTCCACTTCAGATATATCTCCTGGATGTGACCGCCGTGCAGTCTTATCACCTCCGGGAACTCCGCGAGACCGCGGCAGTTCCAGTGCAGTATGACCTTGCTCCTGACCTCGTTCGCCATCTCCACGGGATCTGGGTCCATGAAAACGTGTAAAAAAACCAGTTAGTTATTTTACCCCTCCCGGTACCCCAGGGGAGGTGCGCGATTGTCAATCATCGAGATCGACGTGGGGGAATCCGTGTGTCTGAGGTCAAGTGCAGCGGCGGCGGACGCAGGCCCGAAAATAAACTCCGGCCCGCTCTCGCTATACATCTGTATATATTAATAAACTTTCGCGGCGGGCAAAAGCTTTACGGAGAGAGAGAGAGAGAGAGAGAGAGAGAGTACGTACGTACGTACGTACGTACGTACGTACGTACGTACGTAC